TATTCTCAAGAATATTATTGACAATCACTTGACATGTGGGACCAAGGGAATGAATTATTGAAATCCGGGGATTAAGAGGAAGGATTTATGGAATTTGGAATATAGGAAATGATTTATGGAACAAGGGGAAATGATTTTTTGAACTTATGGAAAAGAATATTCCCGAGAATAATCTGTTTAGTCACTCATTGACGTGTGGGGCCAACAAGGGAGATAGACGGACTTTTGTGTAAGGGAGCTGATTTGGTGGAAGGACGAAATATGAACTTTGATTCAAGAGTGTGTTCACTGGGCTCGGACAGAGGGAGTAAAAGTGGACTTTGTTCCTTTTGGCCAAGGAGGGGGGTTGGCCGATGGGCCTGGCCCAAGAGCGGGGAGGAGAGAGGGGGAGACGGCTGACTGGGCAGGGGCAGGCCCGGTCAACGCCAACGTGGGCAGCCACGTCGGATGGGGAGAGAGGGGGGGCGGGAACCTCATCGGACGGCCGGCGACGCTTGGCGCACTCCGGTGAACGGTGGCGAGCCAGAGGAAGTGGCTAGCACTGGCGGAGAGAGGAGGACAAGGGGAATCAATTCAACGGTTTGGATTTGAGAGAGGAGGTACGACGGCTACCGGCGGCGGAGGCGAAGCTCGCTGGATGTCCGACGTGGTCGCGCGCGAGGAAAGCGAAGGGCGCATAGGCTCGGGCTCGGCTGACGCGGAAAGGTATTGCGATGCACACGCCGTGGCACGGAACCCAATGGTCGCCGACGACGCGCGCGCGGCGGCGCTATACGGCGGCGGAAGGGGCGGCACGGCGCGGGAGCGATTGGGGAGGCCGGCGGCTGAGGCGGCGGTCTAAGAAGGGCCAAGAGGGCTCCAGGAGGTCGGAGGTGAGAGGATACGGCGAGGGGATGGCCGACGGCAGTGCGCATCCATGCGCGGCGGCTGCCAGTCGAGCGGCACGGCGCGAGAGCAAAATGGGAGGTCGGCGGCCAGGGGAATGGATTGGGGAGGTCGAGGGGGCCCCGAGGAAGGTGATGGCGAGCGGGTTCGAAGAGAGGGAGACCGACGGTGGCGCACAGCCGGGTGCGGCATCGGCGAAGCTCGCCGCGGCTACTCGCGCAGCGGCGCCAAGCGGCGGTGGCGAGAGCTACACGATGCGGAAAAGGAAAGGGAGTGCCAAGGGGAAGGAGGAGCCGAGGAGCTCACCGTCGAGCGGGGAACGGCGTCGCCGGACTTCGGTGATGGGAAGGGGAGGAAGGCCGATGGCGGCGCATGGACGAGCAGCGGCGCACGGCGACAAACACGACACCGAGGTGGCATGGTGCCGTGGCGGGCGCACCGGGGAAGGGGACGGAGGCGTGCGGAAACGGCGTCCTTCGTCGCGGCGGTGGCGTTCTTGGCCGTGACGACGAAGGAGGCGGCGGTGCTCCGGGGTTGGCCGCGCGACGACGACCGGGGTCGAGGGAGGAGGCGGCAATACTCCGTTCCAAGGAGCACGGGGTGAAGGGGAAAGGATTGTGGGCATGGGGTTGGGATTTTATAGGCGAAGAGGCGCTCGGCTGGCAACAGCGGCGGTTTCGTGGGCGGTGCGAAAGCGGCGACGGCGTGGATGCATTGGGCGGCGAAGGCGGTGGATCGTGCGGTGGGAATCGAACAGCGAGCGCGGGCTAGCGTGGTCAAGGTGGGGGCGGCGAGCTGGCATGGTCGCGGTGGTGGCGTGGGCGCGGTAGGGTGCAAAGGCGGCGTCAGCGGCACCCTGTGTCCGCTCCCGCACCAGGACAAGGGAGAGAGCGAGGCGGCCTTGCCCGCAAGGGAAAAAGCGAAAGGAGGAGGAGGAAAGGGAGCCTTGCTCCTTCCATTTTGGGAGGAAGGAAGATGAGAGCACGAGCCCAGCCTCATGGCTTTGGACGCATGCGGCATGGAGTAGCGGAGCCGAGCGGTGAACGGTTTGGCGGTGAGCGAGGGCAAGACGGTCGACGCAGCAGGCGGCAACCGAGGGTGATGACGGCGACACCCAGACGGTCGGCCACGCGCGCGAGCGCGCCGGAACGATGGGCGGGAAGCGATGCCGAGAGAGAGAGAAGGCATCAAGAGAGAGAGAGGAAGGAGACGAGAGAGGCGCCGCTTCTCTCGCTCGGTGCGTGCAGCGCACGTGCGGGGGGAGGAGGAGCGGCCGAGAGGAGGAGATGGGCCGAAAAGGGAAAAACGGCCCAACGACCAAGAGGGAGGTGAAATAGACTTTTTCGGGGGAATTTATTTAAGGAATTTGAGGAGCATTTGAGTCGGGAATTGGATTCCAATCGGATATATGATCCTGGCAAAATATGGGGGGTGTCATGGAAGGGCTTCAAAGGCGGGAATTATATATTTCTGGAATATTTCTGTATTTGGCGGCTCAAGAGTTATTTGAGAGGGATTCAAAAGGAACCTCGTATTCTTGGAGTTGGGACAATTGTTTGGGAAAGAGTTCAAAGATAGATAGATAGATGGACAGAGAGATAGGTCGATAGGTAGAGGGACGGATAGACAGATGGATTGACGGATGGATAGGTAAACAGATAGGTAGGTATAGTAGATAGATAGATGGATCGATCGATAGATAGATAGATCGCTAGGTAGATCGATGTATAGATAGATTGATAGGTAGATCGATCAAAAGAGAGAGGGACGAAATGAACCAATCGATGAGTTTGAATTTTGAGGATTGACGACAAATGCGGATAGGGTTTTACAAGAGGAATCCGAATACGGAAATTCGAACTCTCGGATTGTTGTAGGTAGATTGATAGGTCTAGACTTTAGAGATAGGGAGAGAGATGGGCCGGAAGAGAAAGAAGAGGTGGACCAGGAAGAAAGAGAAAGAAGGGGAACCCAACATCAGGGGGAGGGAAAATGGACTTTCTCAGAGAGATTTTAGTTGATGGTGTTTAGGGTTGGAGGTTGGATTTGAACGTCGAAGTTGATACTCGAACTCGGTAGAATAGGGAGGAGTCAAAGAAGAGGGCAATATTCGGAATCGAATCAAAGGGAGATTGTTAGTTTAGAGAATGAGAGTGTATCTCGAGTGTTTCAAGTCGACTACTCGACGAGGTACGTGGATAAGGGATTTAGAAGAGAAACCTGAATAGAAGGGTTCGGACTTCAAGATTATCTGGAACGGATATTATCCTGGGATAGATCTGTACTCGGGGATTGTTCTAGGATTATTTGGATGGGGTTTCTAAGAGAGGGGAAATCTCGAGAATTGGGTTTCACAAAAAGGAATTCAATATGGATCTGCACCCGGGTATTCGGAGCAAATACTCGGAAATGGTTTCAACGAATGACGAAGCAATAGGTAGAGGGAGATTATAAATGTGGGAGTTGAGATCAATTATTCGAAAGAGAGTCAAGGGAAGGTAGAGAGAGGGAGAGATGAAATTGAGAGGTTAAGCTCGAATTCGAGAGTCGGTTTGAAGGAAACAAGGGAGAATTTAGGTCTCGGAGGTGAATCATTGGACTGGGTTAGGGTTCGGGCATTCGACAAAGATTAGGGATAGGGTTCCAGGAGGGATTTCCGAATAGAAGGAATCGAGCTTCGGGATTATATTGGATGGAAAATTTTAAGGAGACGATCTTTGATAACAGGGTATTGAGACAGGGGAGGGATTTTAATTGAGATCTTTGGCACAACTTAGACTCAGCACTCAAAGAATCAAAATTTTCGCAATTAGGGTTTTCGGTGCATTAGCTTTTAACGCCACGCGGAAATCGGGGCGTTACAGGCGGCCTTCGCTGTCTCGCGCAGGCCCCCACCGCCGACGGGAGAGGCAGACGAAGGCGACGAAGCCCCGCCGCCGCCGTCCTTGCGGCCGCGCGGCTTTGCCGGCGGCCGGTCGGGCGGCGGCGAGGCGGCAGAGGGAGGAAGGGGGGAGCGGCGACGCCGGCTGTTTTTGCCTCCCGTGTCGCCTGTGAGGGAGGGCGACGCGGGGGCGAGGGGAAGAAAATCGCGTTACTGCAGTTATGTTGTACGGTAACTTTTTGGCTAAGGATGAAAAGCAAGGAAGGAAAGCTTTTCGGTCCAAAACCAAGAAAAATTTTCATTAATATTTTTAATTATGATGTATAACAATCTTAATGTTTTGATTTATTGCTCGGTATTTCTATCACTGAAAAATCGTTTTTACCCGTTCGGGTATTTTTTTTTTCAGGCTGTGTGAGTCGTCACGAAGTGTCCGGGCGGCCTAACCATGTTCCCTACCTGGTTGTAGCTGTCAAGGAGATCAAGAGATTGTGGGTAGAACTAAACCAGCACTTTCTTCCTATGTACATAGAGACTATAGAGGGTATCATCGGAGTTACCTGAGCGGGCCATTTTTTTTTTTCTCGTGAAGGAGAAAGAAAGCATGCGGGTGGGTGAGAGAGACCGGAAGCATCATTGCTACAGTTGAAGATGAGATTTGAGATGAGATAAGGCCGCCGTCGAAGCTCTCAATGGAAAGATCTAGGCCCTCCCGATGGGCCCAGACGATCGAGGAGACGACGGCGACGGGGACGGGAGATGAAAAGGCGACCGGCCCCGGTTCACTGAACGCATCCTTTCGGGATAAAACCCCAACTTTGGTTACAGCCTGGGTCGCGTAATTGCGCGCGCTTCGCGTGCGGCCGTGCAGTGCATGGGCAGCGGCATGGCCTACTCCTATCCAGCATCTCCACTGATCATTGCTGCTCATGGCCTCACCGATCGTTCGATCTCCGGCCGTGGCCAGTCACCAGTCGTCAGTCCGACGCAGTGTTCCATGGGAGCCACGTATGGGGGGTCCCGAAGCGAGTGCAACAGTGACTGGGATTTGGCTGTTAAAGTTGGCGCCTTCGACCACCAGCCCACCCCGATGTGTAATCACTGTGCCAGAGTAGCGTAGACGAGGAAAATCTGCTTTGATGCAGCTCGCAACTGGGGCAACTGGCTTGGGAAGTGAACTGAAATCCACTGCATCGGGACGGCGCTGGCGGCGGTGGTGAGCTTGTGGCCTAGTTGTAGTACGGGGTAGTAGGAGTAGTAGTTTAAAGGAGTATATCACGTCGCTGGTCCCCGACTCCCCCGTGGTCGCAGCGAAATCGCACCGGTCGATCGGTGGAAGCTCCGGCCGGTGGAGCTGAGCTAGCGATGAAAAGTCGCTAAAAACTAAATCGACCGTATCATTTCGCAAATCCCGATTGGTCCCCGTGGCGCAGCGTGGCGTGAGATCTTGTTATACTAGTATTTAATTGGGATTTGGGGGGGGGGGGGTGCGTATGCGTGCGTGTGCGCTGCTTCTTCTCTCAAGTGGTGGAGGGGAAGAGGAGCACAAGGAGAGGCAGACGGCGATAAGTCGCTCGCTCGCCAATTCGCCATGATCGGGTGGGGCTCCGCTACCGTACACGCCCCGGAGGAAGCCCAGGCCCCGCCCATGCTGCTGAGCTCGTGATCCTGCGCTCCTGGCCACAGGCTGCGATTCGGCGTTGGTGCGCCCACCCTCGATCTTGGCCGCTTGCGCGCTTCCACGATCTGAGTATCCTGTCGCGTACTGGGGTCTTAATTAATTTACTAGTGACCGTGCTCATCTTCTTCTTCTTCCTCCTCCTTGCAGGGGTTTCTGGTCCGAGGCGGCCATCAAGATCCGTGCTTCTTGTCCTTTGGCCCGGGCGGAGTGGTTTCTTTCTTGCACGGGACGTGCTCGACGGAATGCCTGTGAGGGGAATTCGCTCGCTGTGAGTTGGGAGGGGTGGTAGCTGTGCTTGCCTGCTTGGTCTGGTCATGGTGGATTGAGTGCTTGGGGGTGGTGGGATTTGGTCCCTGGGCATGGCCGGTTCGGAGAGGACCGTGGTTTGGTTCAGGAGGGACCTCAGGATCGACGACAACCCGGCGTTGGCCTCCGCGGCGAGGGACGGCGCTGTGCTCCCTGTCTTCATATGGTGCCCTGCGGATGAAGGGCAGTTCTATCCCGGCCGGTGCTCCAGGTGGTGGCTCAAGCAGTCGCTCCCCCACCTCAGCCAGTCACTGGAGTCGCTCGGGTGCCCGCTCGTGCTGATCCGAGCCGAGAGTACCCTTGAGGCTCTTCTGCGGTGCATTGATTCTGTCGGCGCCACCAGATTGGTTTATAATCATCTGTATGGTATGGCTACTTTCTCATGGCGTTTCCTGCATCAATGGAGTTTCTTATATGTTGTGTTATTCTATTTCTTTGTGAAAATATTTTTTTTTCTTTACACTTTGGATGCGAAGAAATCTGACCATGACGACTTTGAAAGTCTTAGCCAGCTACATCATGTACTTTTATGTTGTCAAAAGGCTCAACTTAATAAGTTATGTAACATTTGATCAAAAGCTATTCCGAGTGAAGCCTTGTAAACAACATCATAGATCTTTTTTTTTTAAGAAAATGGATTAAAATCATAGATCATGCCAGTTGCTTACATGCTGTTCTAAATGTAAATACAGTAGAAAGTTCTCTCAATTTATCCATGGTTATGTATCATAAGTCAGTTCATTTAGTTGGTATTGACATGATATGTGCTACAAACATCACTAATACACATTTTCCCCACAAATATAAAAAATATTCAAATTCATATATAGGAAGAAGGAAACTATCTCTAAACAATTAAAATTGCATTATATGTAGTAATCTGGCAGTAGTTTTTCCTATCAAAAATTCATAACAATAGCTTTCGAAAAGAATAAGGCAAAAAGCATATGCGCATGAAAATAGAAACTAGGCCAAGTATGATTAACATAAATACTTCCTCCGTTTCATATTATAAGACTTTCTAGCATTGCCCACATTCATATATATGTTAATAAATCTAGATATATATGTGTGCCTAGATTCATTAATATCTATATGAATGTGGGCAATGTTAGAAAATCTTATAACCTGAAACGGAGGTAGTACTACATAATAAAGTGCCAAATAAATCTTTAGGGGCTAACTTGAACCAACTATAGCTTATGGTCTTATTTGTCATAGTTCCACTCTTCAAATATCAAATACCAAATACTATAAACTGTCACATCAGAGGGGAAAATCAAACTCAAAGGTTTGACATTGCAAAATGAGACGGCCTTTTCCATTTGAGCTAGTACAATATTGATATGAAATAAACAACTTTGGGTTTTCTAGTTCAGACTTCAGAAACGTGTACCTCTAAAGTTGGTACGGAGTACAGCTGTGTTCTCTATTGTTCCATTCCACTAGCAGTTTTGTTTTAAAATTACTCTTTTCAGATATGCTGGTTTAATCTTATTTGTTCTCACTCTTCTAAATTTTAGACCCTGTTTCTCTTGTGCGTGATGACAAAATAAAAAAAGAGCTTTCGGCACTGGGAATTTCCATCCAGAGTTTTAATGGTGATCTGCTGTATGAGCCATGGGAAATTTATGATGATAGTGGACTTGCATTTACAACCTTTAACATGTACTGGGAGAAGTGCATGGAATTACCTATTGACGCATCACCGTCACTTGCACCTTGGAAATTGGTGCCTGTCCCAGGTAGATCGTGGCTAGTGGCCTACCATTATTTATCTTTTTTATTTTTGAAGATTTTCTATGTTTTTAATTTGTCTGTACTTACAGAATTATCTCTAGATTAAGTTGTTTACCTTTTTTCGAGAAGTTATTTACTTGCAAGCATTACTCGTTTTATATTTACAGATTTAGTAATTGATGCCCTTCAACCTTTACACTCAATGAGTCAATGTCTAGTTTGTCAAGATACAGCTACTTTAATGCTTAACAATTTTTCAGTTTGACATTCAGGTTTGGAGAGTGTTCGTAGCTGTTCTGTTGATGACCTAGGACTTGAATCAAGCAAGGATGAGGAATCAAGTAATGCTTTGCTAATGAGGGCCTGGTCTCCTGGTTGGCGCAATGCAGAAAAGATGCTTGAAGAATTTGTCTCCCATGGTCTCCTAGAATACTCAAAACATGGAATGAAGGTTGAGGGAGCTACTACATCATTGCTATCACCATATCTTCATTTTGGTGAGGTGAGTGTAAGAAAAGTATATCAACTTGTAAGGATGCAACAAATCAAGTGGGAAAATGAGGGAACATCTGAAGCTGAGGAGAGCATTCACTTCTTCATGCGGTCAATTGGTCTTCGAGAATATTCACGGTACTTGTGTTTTAACTTCCCATTCACACATGAAAAGTCATTGCTGGGGAACTTGAAACACTACCCTTGGAAAGTAGATGAGGAGCGGTTCAAGTCCTGGAGGCAGGGAATGACAGGATACCCATTGGTAGATGCTGGCATGAGGGAACTTTGGGCTACCGGATGGACACATAATCGGATAAGAGTTATCATTTCAAGTTTTGCTGTGAAATTTCTACTTATCCCATGGACTTGGGGTATGAAGTATTTTTGGGATGTGCTATTGGATGCTGATCTGGAAAGTGATATTCTTGGTTGGCAGTACATATCTGGGAGCCTGCCTGATGGCCATGAGCTCAGTCGTCTTGATAATCCAGAGGTATGCAGTCACTAAAGCACAAAATCCTTTTTTTTTTTTTTTTTTTGCTATCAGGTAAGCTTGATTAAGGCATGCTTGGTCTTTACCACATTTTCGATGGCCCTTGTGCAAAAATGTCGCTTGACACAGTATTTATGGTAATCAAGTCACCCACCACACTTGGGACATGAACCAAACTAGCCATACTTTATCGAATTTGCTTACATTGATGTGGCAAACTGTGGCATTAAACTAAATACAGGAATTTAGGAATTTCTCTTCATTAGAAAGTTCATATATGATGAGACTAGAATAGATTTTTATATCCATGAAATTCTCCACAGATCATCCACATTTCACTATTCAGTTAAAAGGTGTTGAAGAGAAACAGCTCAAGGAAAACGTTAGTTAAAAGAATTCTGACTGTAGTGTAGTTACTAACCTAGGCAAACTTTTCCTGGCTTGGCTGAGGCATAAAACTGAGCTAGGATTTGCACCCTTGGAGTGGGAAGCAAATGATTTTTAGGTATGCCACCTTACTATTTGTTTTTCTATAAAATGCCATGTGCACGTTTGTCATACTCTCACTGAGTGGCATTCTAGAACTTTACTTTATCACAAATGGAGTGACACTCAATCAAGTAATTCTACATAAAGAGCAAGCTGAATTTTGTTTTTTCCCTCTAAAAGACAGTGGCTGCCAGGCCAAGCTTGCGAACCTAATTGTGTACTGACGAGATCATAGCCCAGCGGCCTCAGCCAACTTGAAAAATAACTTGGCATGGCCAGCATATGTTGCCTTATTTTTTTTCCCTTTAACAAGGGTCGATATGATGAAACTTAAATTGGCACAGATAGTATATTTTGGTTATTGTAGTTTGGTTTTCATTGTTCTTGTAGATTATGGAAAATGTGATTGCTACGTATTATGCCTTGTGCATATGGTATTAATATATGTGATTTTACTGTTTCTGCCATCCACCCTACAATTTTCCCTTGTCACTTGTATAATGTATTGTCTATAATCAAAATTTTACGATATATGGTTTACCTTGGCACTTCCTACAGATGCATTGACAAAACTTTGTGGCCTTCCTTTCTGCTTAGTTTTCAACTTGTGATTTTTTGAAGTTTCACTGTACTATTAGGCAGAAGAGCTCCCTTGTGTTATACTTATTTTATGTGTCTAAGTACCAAGTGTTTTATCCATGACATGCAAGATATTTATGTTTCCCTATTTGGCTTTTTTGATGCAAAACTAGGTTCAAGGTCAAAAGTATGACCCAGATGGTGTATATGTAAGAACTTGGATACCTGAACTAGCTAGAATGCCGACAGAATGGATTCATCATCCATGGGATGCACCGAGCTGTATTCTTGAAGTTGCTGGAGTTGAGCTGGGGTTTAACTATCCTAAGCCAATCGTAGACCTTCACATTGCTAGGGAGTGTTTAGATGATTCCATCTCCACGATGTGGCAATTGGATACAGCTGAGAAACTTGCAGAATTAGATGGTGAGGTTGTGGAGGACAACTTGAGCAATATCAAGACTTTTGACATCCCAAAAGTTGTTTTGAGGGAAACATCTCCATGTGCTTTGCCCATTGATCAAAGAGTGCCCCATGCTAGCAGCAAGGATCATAATTTAAAGTCAAAGGTATTGAAGGCCTCAAATAGAAGTTCTATTTGTGTTGATATGATCAGGTCCTCAAAGATGGAAGCAACGAGCTCTGTAGCAAACTCACCGGTATCAAGGAAAAGATCCTTTTGTGAGACTGCATTTCATGTCCCATCTTATTCATCTTCAGCTGAAGTGCATTCGCATATTCAAGATCATGGTGGTTCCTTAGTTGGGCCTTCAAGATATCTCCTGCAGGAAGCAGGTAGAAACTATGTTGATGAGGTAAGCTTAATCATCATATTTGATAGACAAGTGCTGAAAAATTTAATGCGATATTTTCATCTTTGTAGTTTTTTTTATCAGGAAAGCAAACATCCCATGAAATTACCACCACAAGACCTATAAACATAATAACATTCAACCTCCAAAGTACTAGGTTTAAAGTTTAAACAGCTTCGAACACTCCATGATATAGATGGTATTCTGAAGTTGTGTCTTCTGCTTCTTTACAGCCAACATGAACTGTGTGGAGCGCCTGTATCGTGATCTTAGCTAATCTTAATTCTGACAACAGCTTCTGCTATAATGACAAACTCATGATATATTATTGCTGCAAGCTGACCAGCTTCTGTCGGCATAAATGGCTTTATTGGATAATCTAGGTGCTCAGGATGGGTAGTGGAAACCCACCCATTTCACACTTCCACTGCTTCTAGAACTAAGTCTAACAAGTCTTGATAGGATTAGTAAAACTGTGCAAGTCTTTGTAGTCAAATTTCACGGCATGTATATTTCAGTAGATATTGCTGGAGGTAAAGCCTCCATCGAGAAACAAGATAGCACCCAACCTATGTTTAACTATGATACTTTTTCTGGCATCTTTTTGGGATTTTTTGTAGGGGCATCTTTTGGGATTTTACTTCTGTGTGTATACCACGGGCACAAATTCTCTGCTCAGTAAATTAACAGCCACGGCATTGAACCATTATTTGCATGTCTTATCTATGCATAACATCCTATCCCCACTTAACTGACCATACATGTTACTCTACACTGCTTGACTGCTTCACATCCAAACTAATGCCACTTTGCAGGTAGAAGATAGCTCTACCGCAGATAGTGGTTCGAGCATTTCAAGACAACGAAAAGCCGCATAGTTGCTCTGCTTGACAAGGAAGGGTGAAGGTGTACTCAACTAAGGGTGTGTAGGAGTAAAACTTGTGTGATCATAAGGAAATTTTGTACATTCTGTAATCTGTTTATTTTTGCTTTTTGTGACACATTCTGTAACTAGCTGAGAACTGAGCTGACACGGTTTCCTCGCCCAAAAGAAAAAAAAAATGCAACATCTTTCCTTCGTTGCAATAAGAGAAACTTCTCATCCAGTGGGGTTCCAGTCCCTTTGTTTTTGTTTGTTTAATGCTTGTTTTATACCTGACTTAGATGGTCAAATATATTCAGTGGAGTATTTGACAGGTTTTGATCAAAAGGACAAATTAGCAGATGGAATTTATGCGACGATATCATGCAAGGGTCATCAAAAAAATCATGGTAGTCCCTGATCTATGGTATCAAATCTGATAATAGTCTAATCTAGCAAATCTGGTATTAGTGTAATCTAGCATTGGTATTGTTGTGACCTTAGGTCATGGACAAGTTTAGAGATAAACGGGAATGTTTGATGGTTAATACACATAAAATACATGGCTTTGATGGTTAATACACAAAATGCCTGCTAGAGGCTTTTGGCCGGTTTATATAGTCCACAGCCGTACATGTGAGATTATAACTTTGCCCCCGTGGGCCCTTTGAGTTTACAATTAGGCCATTGCCATGTCAGCAACCCTAGAGGCATTTTGGTATATTTAGAAGGTTATTATGGTCTTTTGGCGCCAGCTGGCAGGAGTGGTTCCCATGGAATCTTCTTTTGGCATCTTTATTGTTCGAATTGTGTTTTCCCTCGAGTCGTTAAGTCGAATCGTATTTTTCATCTTGGTTCGTTTTTTCCATCTTGAGAGCTCGAACACTTCTTCTCACCTGCCTAGCTCTTGAAATCTACCTGTCACTGGTTAGAAATGTACTCAGACGAGACGAGTTGTTTCATAAAGCTACTCAAATGGTACTTTCCCACTTGAATAGTACTTTTCCGCTCGAATGGCACTTAACCATTTTTACCACTCAAATGGTATTTTACCATTTTACCACTCGTATGATATTTTACCACCTTAACACTTAGAAAAGCTCAAGACCTCTTTCTCTTTAGTGTTTAAGCCGAATAGGGAGGATGGTGGGCTACAACACTGATAAAGAACATATGTTAGATTTATTGTACTAGGTAAATATCTTGTTTAGATTGGTTTAAGGCTGCTTTATTTTAGAGTAGAGAAATAAGTTTCATGTTGACATCTGCATATGAATTAGAGTGGATTACACTTTGGGTCATTTTTTATTACCTAAATTTCACTTTGGACCAATATCTATCCAAACTTTTCACCTTGAACTAGATATTTTTACCAATTTTGTATTTTGGATCACCCGAACTCTCTTCACGAGCACAACAGCAAAATCAAGCACATTGGCACTCTCGTGTCGACGATATTCCTTATTTTAGTGGAGCTCACATCTTTATCAAATAAAAGGTTGGATATGGCTAGACAAAATGGGTGGTCTAAAGCGTAACAAAGGTAAAAATACCTAGCCCAAAATGAAAAGATTGGATAGAGGGTGCTTCAAAGTGAAATTTAGATAATAAAAAGGTGGCCAAAAGTGCAATTCGCTCTATAAATTATTTCACCCACTAACGGCATTACCCTTATATAGTACTTTCTCCATCTCATAATAAGTTTATTTTTAAACCTCCTTATTTGTCCCAAAAATAAGTTCATTTATAAGTTATCACCGCATCGGAGTTTGTCAAAATATGGTATAAATGTACCGAGAGTAGATAAAGAGAGAAATAATTGCATTGAGATTTAATAAAGTATAGATATTGCACTGAAAATAAAGTTATTTTGGGACAGAGGAAGTATATATATATTTGTTTGGTCAAATGGGGAAATAAGGCCAGTATCTTCTTGTATGAGATCCTGACCGTTCATCCTCGATCGGACGAGCCATGCCACTCATAGAACAGATCGCAAATTCGCAATCGGTTTCGTTGCCTCCCCCATGGCGAGCGTCCGTACCGAGCGGCTCGCGTCGTGCCTCGCCGCCGTGGCCACCAAACCGGCCGACTTCCGCCGCGCGCACGCCATCCTCCTCACCTCCGGCCACCTCTCCTCCCGCTACTCCGTCAACTGCCTCATCCGCGCCGCCTCCGCCCCCTCCGCCTCCGCCCTTCTCCTTCGTTTCCTCCTCAACCACCGCCTCCTGCCGGACCACCTGTCCCTCTCCTTTTCCCTCCACCCCTGCTCCCGCCTCCCGAGCCACCCCGTCGCCAGCGTCGTCCACTCCCTCGCCGTCAGGCTCGGCCACGCCCGCGACGTCTACGTTGTCAACGCCGCCGCCTCCGCCTACTTCGCCGCCGCCGACGTCGCCTCCGCCGAGCGGCTCTTCTCGGAGGCGTCCAGGGATGTCGCCGACGTCGTTACGTGGACCACGATGGTCACCGGGCACGCCAACGCCGGCGACGTCGAGCGTGCGAGGTGGTTCTTCGACGCCATGCCCGAGAAGAACGTGGTGTCGTGGAACACGATGCTGGGCGCGTACGCCCGCGCCGGGATGCTGCCGAAGGCGCGGAAGCTGTTCGACCGAATGCCCAGCCGGAACGCTGCCACGTGGGGCTCGATGATCACCGGCCTCTTGCAGTCCGACCACTGCGAGGAGGCGTTGAGGGTGTTCAGCGACATGGTCGCGAGCGGCGTCGTGCCGAACGAGCCTGCGCTGGTGAGCACCGTCTCGGCATGCACGCAGCTGAGGTGGATGGAACACGGCACGTGGGTGCACGGGTACGCCGAGCGAGAGCTGAACGGGGCGATGAGCGCTGTCCTTGCGACGGCGATCGTAGACATGTATGGCAAATGTGGGAGCATCCGTGATGCCGTCAGGGTGTTCGCTGCAATGCCGGTGAGAAACATCTACTCGTGGAACTCAATGATCGCTGGGCTTGCCATGAACGGCAGCGAGAGGCAGGCCCTGTCACTCTTCTGGAAGATGCAGCTGGCTGGTGTTCGACCAAATGACATAACATTCATTGGTTTGCTGAGCGCTTGCAGCCACTCAGGTCTTGTAGACGAGGGCCGCTGGTTGTTCTACAAGATGGTGAATCACTTTGGGATCCAGCCAGTCCCAGAGCACTATGGTCTCATGGTTGATTTGCTTGGGCGGTCCGGTCATGTCAGGGAGGCAGTGGATTTCGTCAAGAGCATGCCTGTGGAGCCACACCCAGGCTTATGGGGTGCACTTGCTGGCGCCTGCAAGATCCATGGCGAGGTGGAGCTCGGTGAGGAGGTTGCCAAGAAGCTCATTGAGTTGGAGCCTCAGCATGGCAGCCGGTACATCCTCCTGTCAAACATATATGCCACCTCGAACAGATGGGATGACATGGCTAATGTGCGCAGGATCCTGAAGGATCGCAAGGTCCCCAAGGGTACAGGCAATGCCATAGTTGGAAATGATTCTCAGTCTTCAGGATATGAAATCGATTCGTGATTAGTGCTTCTTTGGACTGAGAAGTGCATTCAGTGTGACTTTGCACAAGCTGCGTGTGGTAGGGAGGGATGAACCACCACCTTGGAGACACCATTGTACTGAAACAAGCCCCCCTAAGGATATTACTTTTATGGGGCATTTGGAAAGTGCATAACGGGATATATTCTCAGCATTCTTGATGGGTTAGTTTGCAAGTGCTTGGAGAAAAAACACTCAGATTATGAAGAAATGGTGACCAAGGGAAGAACCACCACCTTGGAGACACCATTGTACTGAAACAAGCCCCCCTAAGGATATTACTTTCATGGGGCATTTGGAAAGTGCATAACGGGGTACATTGTTGGTAGAGACGGATCACTTCATTGGAATTTTCAAGAGCACTGTACTCGGCGTCACAATTTCCTTGAAGATGTACTACTAGATTTTGAGATTTGAGAATTACTGGATAAAACTTTTGAAAGCCTTGATGCTAATTCGTTTCTCTGTTCCTGTTCCAGTGCTCCATTCAACTTTTGGCTTTATTTTCCTGCAAGTAGGAGAGTTGAAAGATAGCGGTGCTGCAATGGTCTTTCTGTGGTCATTGGGCTGATACATCGAGGCTGTGATATCATGTTTCTGGCTTCATTTTCAGTAAAATGGAAATGGTACCACGAGTCTATGCTCTTTTCTTCCATGATAAAGAATGACATGTTTGTTTGAGATATGCCATCTAAAAGGTGAAAGGTGACTCATCGGGAATTACAAAACAAGTGTGTTATATGTATAGTGAAATAGTATGAAGGAAAGAAAAGATAAATATTTTAATAGGTTTATTATTTATAAGGAACTCATGGTGTTAACATAATTTACAGCAATCTGTCATTATGCTCTGAGTAAAAATATATCTTGGTTTTCCTCACGTGAACATGATCATTTTCGGAACAATCTGCTGAATGACAGAACTGGTGGAGATTGTGTGTTCCCTTAAAGGTCATGGATAATCTAGGAACTGATTGCATTTCTCAAATAACTGAGACTCTGCTTCTTCTTCTTTTTCTCACGAGAAGCCATTGAAGTGTTCGTGAAGTTCGGTGGATATGAGTGGAGTAATATTCTCATAGCAGCATCAGTATCTTGACAGATGCTCAATCATTCACTGACATACGTGATGATGAAATCTTTGCTACTTTCTCCATTCCAAAATATAAGATACTCTAGTTTAGTTTTGTTATCTATACTAATTTATATGTTGATAGTGGTGGTTGCAGTGAATCTGCCATCACCACCCCTTCCACTGACGTGTGGACCCACAATGTTGGTGGTGTTGGTGTTTCATCCTGAAACAATATACCTCAGTGTCTTTGGCTCTCTAGCTAACTCAATAAGCATAAAAAAAATGGATGGCCAAAAAATGGTTGGATAGGTAGATATTTTTTACTTTAAAATGAATGCTAAAGTTTTTTTTCTAAGATTTCATGGTAACGCATGGGCAAATCAGCTAGTAAATTAAACTTTTCTAACTTTAATATCTACATCATCAAATTAGTTCCATTAATATCTATATTGGTAATATATTTGTTTTGTATTGAAGATGTTAATTACTTTTTTCATAAACTTAGTTAAAGTTAAAAAAAATAATTTAGAACAAAAACTAAAACAACTTATATTTTAGAAAGGGTAATATTTGGCCAGAACGTTGATGCTCATGTTGTAAGTTGTCGCAGAGATGTATTGGAATTGGCCCAGTTATTTCATGGCCAAGAAGGTACTGGCCCATATCGGACAGCACAGTGTGATCGAACAGATTGCAGCTGAATCGAACCATGTTGGGCTGTTGGCTGTACCTCCTCCAGAAATCCCCCCCCCCCCCCCCCTCCCCTCACTCACTCATATCTCACTTCTCGGTGAAATATGAGTTGGCTGTACCTCTCTCTCTCTCACTCACTCATAATTCACTTCTCGGTGTATAATCACGTCATTGGCAACTCGCCAGCAAGATTCAGACCATGTTTAGTTCAGGGGAAAAGTTTTTACGTGTCACATCGGCTATACGAACACACCTTTAAAGTATTAAATGTAGTCTATAATAGATTCCGCTTATAAACTGCGAGACGAATTTATTAAGCCTAATTAATCCGTCATTAGCAAATGTTTACTGTAGCACATTGTCAAATCATGGAGTAATTAGGCTTAAAAATTTCGTCTCGCAATCTGTATAATTAATTATTTTTTATATTAAATAATCCGTACATATATCTAAACATTCGAACGGGGTGAAAAATTTTTGTTTGGGAACTAAGCAAGACCTCAGCCAGTGTGCCCGCTCTAGGAAGACTTTACAGGCTTACAGCCTAGCCAACCGAACAAGCTGCACGTTTCAGCCCCTTCGGCTGTGGCCAACGGCCTCCGGGCTCCCGCCTCCCGCTAGCCCTCTACACGCGCGAGGTGATCCGTGGTCTCTGTGGTCTGGTCATCTGGCGAGCCACGTCGCGAGGGGCGCACAAACAAACAGGGCTGCCGGTCAATCGGTTGCCCTTGCCCGCGCCGAGAAGCCGCGCGGTCACGGCACGCACCCCGTGCTCCGCGCTCCGCGTGCGCGCGCGCGCGCGTGTCGTGTCGACCGGGCGCTTGGCCTGAGGTGAGAGAGGAGGACACGTACTGTTCGGGGGCGTGCGGCGTTGGGGGCGACGTGCACGCGAGACGCCACAGTACTGCACCGTGCACGTCATGGCGGCCTGGTAACCGCGCGCGGAAGGGTTCTTTTTCTGTGTACGCGAGTGGCCAACGCTCGCTTGCGTTGCGTTGGTTCGCACGCTGCGTATCAGCGTGTGTGTGGAGGACGGAAATTGGAAAACCGATCGTGCCGAAGAAATTACTCGGATGGTGCATTCGCATGCGCGTGCGGCGTGCTTACCTCTGGCGGTTGGCCGCGGCTCGGTCGATCTGTGCTGCAAAAGCGACCATCGGGCGGGCTAGTCCGATTTTTGCCTGGTCGAAGTTCTCGCGGAAAGAAAAGACGACTGGGTTTTCCTGATCATTTAGCAGTACAGGCTGCTTTTGGAGAAGAGAGAAAGGTGTACTAATTAAGCTCAAAGATGCCGGTATTGTTCTTTCATGCGTGATTAATTAAGCTTTCTTGACTTGCAGGATATCAGCCGTCATACATACCCAATAAGTTGTCTATCAGATCATTAGCACTTATGTCCGTCCTCCATTTTTCTTCTTTGATTCTACTATTACATTTAATTGTAGGAGTTCTTTCTTTGGGCACGAAAAAGGCAGCACGTACCACTTGTGACCTCGGATGTCTGATTAGCACTAATTTCACGCCTTACACGACATAGGTGATGCCTTTTTCTACTTCAATTAATTATACCATAGTCTTACGGGTCTCTGCATTGTCAAGTTATCACGCAAGAAGATGCTTTAATCCACCATAATATGTACTGTAGCGTGTTGTGATGTCAAAGAAGGGCTGCGTCGCTGCGAGCATACTTCCCCGGAAGACCGCAATAGGCCGAGAATTTATGGGTCTTCAGAGATCGGCGTTCAACAAGGGAACAATTATTGGTATATTCGACGAACAAATTCTTGCGTGTTTTTTCTTCTCCAAGTGCAGAGTTCGCCATGTGTTGTTGTTGGGCGACATTGACCAGCTGTTGCGTCGGCATCAGGAAGAGAGAGGGAGAGAATGCAATGGAGAACGTCATCTTAAGAATGTAAGACCGTGGCAGCGTCACGCGTGAGATCAGCCAAAGTTGCCGTCAAACTGATACGTTGAAACTTTGGGAGCGAGAAGAACTAGCTAGCCGGAAATTTGGTCGATCAGTTATCTTGCCAATTAATTTAAGTTAATTTAATTTGGCCGGTCGACGTTTCTTCAAAGGTGTACATCGCGGTTTGAAACGAACCATGGAATGATGGAATTCACCGTCCGGACTTCTTGTAAATCTTTTTGAAGTCTCGCTTCCGGACGGTTCCATTAGGTCAACGAGTTTTTCTCCGAAGATTTTTTTGGTGCCCTACCCCATGCTTGTTGGGTTGTGCTGACGATTGAATGCGGATACGCCATATAATAAATCGACTGGAGCGGCCATAATTTTTATTTTGAACTATTAGCACCAGATAGTGTAATGATTCATTGAATATAGCAGGAAAAAATACAAGACTAGTGTCCGGTAAGGCAGTAACCAGGAAAGAAAAAAACCACCACTACCACCATCACACACCGACAGCTCCTACACACAGACAAGAGAAGGCTAGTATCGGACCAGCCGTCGCTAGACGAAGAAAGAAGCTAAAGTCGAGTCAGCCCAAAACCAAACCCTAACACCCGGCCACCGAACTCTATCCTATCCACATTTTTAGGATTAAGGAGGAGAAGGTGAGAGAGAATATGGAACCGCTCTCCCCCTAAGGCTCACCAATACGGCCAACTTACAGAAGCTAGGGTACCACCGCAAGCGGACAGGCGTCTAGAGTGAGCCAGCACCAACTGCACGAGAGAAGATTGGCAAGGGGCTTCCAAGACAACGTCTCTAAGGAGAAGAGTGACGATAAGATCGCCGCCGCCATCCGTCGAGGCCTCAGGGAGACCACGACAGGGTTTTTACCCGACAGCCCAACCAGAGGAAGTGGACAGCTCGACAATGCCCACAAGAGGGAAGATGACGCCTGAAGCGTCGTCATTGTCGGCCCTGTCCCAAGCTAGGTTTCCACCCGCCGTCCACCCCCACCGATCCACAGCTAGTGCTCCAAACCTCCACCACCAGCTAACCTCTGCCAGCGCATGGACTCCACTGCACCGACGCCCCCTGCTGGCCAGCCTCCCATCGACACCGGCTGCACCTCGCCGGCCTCCACACCGCCGGACACTTCCACATGCCGCACCTGCCTCCCGCCGCCGTTGGCCACACATCCACGCGCCATCGTCGGCATCCCGCCGCCACTGGCCGCACATCCACGCGCCATCGTCGGCCTCCACGCCGTTGGCCGCGCCTCCACGTGCCGAGCCGGCCTCCACACCGCCAGCCAGCCTTGCCTCCACGCTCCTCCACGCGCCACCACCACCGGAGCAACGCCTCCTCTGCTCCCGTTGCCGCCTGCATCCACACCGCCTGCCACCGCCCGCCGCCTCCTTTCCCGCACCTAGCTCTAGATCCGGCGATGCCCGAGGGCGCAGTCTCCGCCGTCACCGCCTTCACCCATGGCCCATACCCCGAGGAGCGTGGAGCGGCCACAATGGCTGCAGCTACTATAGGGATAATGGGTCTTTACAATAGCAAATTTGGAGTATTGTAACTTAGCAGTATCGGATCTCTACCGCAGACCGAAAATAACGTATTGGAACTTAGTGATCACTATAGCATTTAGCGATTGCTATTGCAACCTATATTGGCTTTTGGCAGGTCGCTATTGCGAAATTATGTTTTTCATAATTGGATATGGGAACTTAATGCCATGTGTCTTTTTTAAAAAAAAATCTTATTCATTTATATTATTTTGTAACTTTTATCTATACTACTTTAAAAGCAGAGGCCGGTGGACTTCTCCTTCCACCACCATCATATAGTAAGCACACGGGCAAAAATCACAGATGTATCACTATCATTTTTTACTTAGTCTTATGTCACGCACTCTCTTCATCCCACAAAAACTCAACTTAGTATTTGATGTTAGACAAGTTATAGTACTACGAATCTGGACAGACCTTTGTTCAAATTTATAGTATAACTTGTTATGGAACAGAGAGAGTATATTATATATAGTATAGGACCTCGTATATTCGGTAGTTAGGGGATCTTTTTATTCTATTGGTGGTTGTTAGTTTGTGTCTGCTTTTAGCTTTGTTTTTGTTATCGTGAACTTTTTGTGTGCTATAGTGAAGTTTCTGTGTGAGTTTTATAATAATTAGCGGTAGCTCTTTGAGTAAAGGCCGGGATATTTCATTCCATTATCCTAAAATATTCATACTGCTAGTTCACTAGAAACAAGAGTTTGTCATGTATGGTGTCAATGCTGAAACTACTGCCTCCGTCCTAAATTGGTTGTCGCTTTAACGTTTGACCATTCGTCTTATTTGAAAAACTAATACAAATATAAAAAAGATAAGTCAAACTTAGAATATTTTTTATAATAAAGCAAGACACAAACAAAATAAATAATAATTTCATATTTTTTTAAAAAAGACGAATGATCAAAAGTTAGAAAAAAAACTCAAAGCGACAAGTATTTTAGGATGAAGGCAGTATATTATACTGAGATTCTTCTCGAAGTTGGAGAAAATCTGTGAAAACAACACTTGTGTTTACAATATTAGCTTACCAATATATAATCCACAAACTTATAGATTTTGAAGGGAAATTTAATACCGATGTTATTAACCACACACACAAAGCTAATCTCTCTCTTCTCAAGTACGGCAGCTTTTTTTTGCTGACAAAAAAAATCCCATCCTAACAACCCCTACATATACAGCATTAACAAAGTTACATATACAAATAAAAAAACAGAAAGATTTTCTTAGCAACCAATCTGACAACTGTACATGCCAGCAGTACTGGTACATTGTCCACTTTGAAAATTATAAACCGGAGTTATTTTTATATGAGCACATGTCTCAGCAAGTACACCTTTTGAAACCCCCCTGCTTAAATCCACAGGAACAACAACAAATCAACCTGAATACAGCTATAAACACACACTAGTACAGGAGTAGTATCTTATTATAGCTACTAAAAACAATGAATATATTTTGATTCTCAAGAATCTCAACTTACATGTAGTGTCAGGCTATATTCAACACCTATGATGGATGCTGCATAATACAGTTTACTTCTACTGTAGAATATGAACATTAGTACAGTAAACACACTAATAGCAGGCTATTAACCAGCTGCAAACATATTTTAATGAGATAAAAGATGAGAGAGAAGAGCAGCGGGCTACAGATATGTAGCCCGCTGCAGCGCGGACTCCAAGACGCAGTGTGTGTATGACAGGTGAGATCATATATTAATAGTATAGTAAACAACTATTGTATGAATTGGCTATTAGATTGGCTATAGATGAATTGGAGCTTGTAGTGGGCTATACTATTAAACTTGCTCTATCACCTCACATGTCCACTTGTGACAAGAAAACGATGAACACAACAACACAAGCTTTCCAGAGGAGGACCTTGTCTAGCTGTCTTTACAAATTTCCCCTAACGAATTGATTAGTAGACCCTACACTTCACTAGTGCGCCATATAATACCAAGATTCTTGTTTAATCAAAGCCGTACAAGCCAAAGCCGGCAAAGTCCCCCACCGAAAACCGAAAACCAAAACCGGAGACGCCGCGATAGCCGGATTTTAGCCACGTCGCCGTACAACACCCGCCTATATAAGCCACCGTCCATATCAAAACGGCACGGCGTCACACGCCGTCACCGTCTCCAAACGGGAAAAGAGAGACAAGGCCCCCGTCTTCCGTGGTCAGTGGCCACCTCGCGCGCGCACGCGTCGCGCTGCGATTGGCTGCCCGTCGCGCCGGACAGCGACGTGTCGTGACGGGATTGGTCACCGCGTTCTCCGTACGTTGGCCGTCCGGAAAGGCCAAAAGGTCCCCCCCCCCATTAGAAAAGACGGCCGAAACCTTCTCGAAGGGACGTTAAAACGGACGGTGTGGTGGTGGTGGTGGGCCCCCACGTGAAACGCCGGGCGTGGATGCCGCGTCCGCTTATCACCATTTAATACACCGTACGTGGGGCCCACAGGACAGCGAGGCGTGTGGGCCCCACATAAATTAAAGCCGTCTGCTTCGGGGAGTGTGGGGGGGGGGGGTGATGGCTGCTCCGCGCCTCGCACTTTGCACACCTAACGTGCAGCGCAGCAGATGAACAACTTGCGATTAAACAAGGCTGCTGGTGTTAGCGGAAAACAATGTGTTTAGGCTACCTAATCAGATTCCGAGAGCTCACATTCTAAAACCCCAAAGAATATACTGTAATGATTTTTATCATTGACATTACGTAGAAGACAAAGCTTCGATGGCCCGTGAATGAATTTCCACCGGGCGGTTGAGTTGAGGTAGCGTACGATTTTCCTCGGCGAAATCATGTTCATTTTGAGCCTGGCGGAATCTCGTTTTTCTTTCTTTCTTTCTTTTTTTAAAAACGTCAATTGCTTCCATTATCTGGACTTATGGGTATGCATTATTGGTACGAGCGGGCAGTGGCCACTCAGAATACACTTTCCGATCAAAAAGGGCATGCTATCGAAGCATGAGCGGTTTCGCACTCGCTAGCCTCTCCATTAATTAGGAGCTGCCATCAATCAACTTATCAACCGCTGTGACAGCAGAATGAAATTTGGTGATTGACTACGATCGTTGCAATCAATTTAATCGATAATTGGGTAATTTTGCATCGTAAAAAAGAAAAAGAAAAGAAATGCAAATCCAGAGCAAGGAATCCGAATTGAAACACAAACAACACCTCGGTGCAACCAAAGTTTATCATCCCCCCCGGTGCACGCACTACAAGGAAAGGCGTCGTTCTGAAATTCCAACTCTACCCACTTTCAATTTTTTTAAGCATCTTTCAGTTGTAATATGTTGTCTATTCACTTAAAGGCACATGATGCGCAACCGAAGAGAGATCAGAAAGAAAACAAAATTATGGTACGTGGAGGCATCTCCACTTGCTTTCAAGTTAAGGAATGATATTAAACTTATCAACTCAAAGATTTACTGTATTACATTTTAGGTGTTTATATGTTTGTTTTCAAAGCAACAAGTGGATAGGCCTGTTTAGTTAAGCATTGTGATGACTTTTTTTTATGGTTAATACAATACCAGTACATAAACAACAACAATATACCTTAAAGTCATTCCTTCTTTAATCAAAGATATTGTAGAAATATGCTATGCCCATTTAACTTCACAACACATCTCATTGTTTGTTACCAAATCCGGTTTACACCATTTTACTCGTGTCCTATTTTTACCGTTTATACAACTATTAACTTAATTAATGTTTACCATATTATAGTTGGAAATAATTTATCTGGTAGTTTTTCTTCCCATAAAAATGTAATTTTATGGGCTCCTTTGGAACGCATGATCTTTAAACACACAGAAACAGGAAAATACAGGATTTAAATGCCTTGACACCCCAAATTCTATGGATTAAAAAATACAGGGAAACTGCAGGAATAACCACTTCGATATAGCACATGAAAAACATGGGAACCAGGAGAGAGATAGGCAAAAATGATTTTCTTTTCAAGAGGTTGAAGCTCATGTTAGAATTGTATTAAAATTCTTATGTCTTGAGCTAATCCAAAGGATTTTAATTTGATTTTTAAGCTATTTCATATGATCCAAGCGATGACATAGGAATTTTTATTTGTAGAATTGAATTCCTCTAAAATTCCTTCAAAAATCCTTTGTCCAAAGGAGCCCTATATTTATTTTTTTAAAAAATAAGTAATCATAGTAGTCATATGTCTCATTAGATTAAGCTAAGGACAATTGTGACTAGTACTAAATGAAACTAAAAGGGATCAAAGGGCAAAATGGGAAAGACATAAAGTGCTGGAGGTTCAGCCAGGCAGGATCCGAATATTCCGCTGGAGCGTCGTTAAATAGACCACCAATCGGTGGGATGGAGTTTACCCCCAAAATCACAGGAAAAACTACTAGCATGAGTGGAGAGCTGAAGAGAGACTACGAGATTGGCGAGGAGATCGGGCGCGGCCGCTTCGGCGTGGTCCACCGCTGCACGTCGCGCGCCACCGGCGAGGCCTTCGCCGTCAAGTCCGTCGACCGCTCGCAGCTGGCCGACGACCTCGACCGGGAGCTCGCGGAGCTCGAGCCCAAGCTGGCCCAGCTGGCCGCCGCGGGCAACCCGGGCGTCGTCCAGGTGCACGCCGTGTACGAGGACGACGCGTGGACGCACATGGTCATGGACCTCTGCTCCGGCCCCGACCTGCTCGACTGGATCCGCCTCCGCCGCGGCGCGCCCGTCCCGGAGCCCGTCGCCGCCGCCGTCGTCGCGCAGCTCGCGGAGGCGCTCGCGCACTGCCACCGCCGCGGGGTCGCCCACCGCGACGTCAAGCCCGACAACATCCTCCTCGACGTCGTCGACGACGGGATCGACGGCGGCGGCACGCCGCGCGCGCGGCTCGCGGACTTCGGGTCGGCCGCGTGGGTCGGGGAGAGCGGCGGCAGCGCCGAGGGCCTCGTGGGGACGCCCCACTACGTGGCGCCCGAGGTCGTCGCCGGCGGGGAGTACGGCGAGAAGGCCGACGTGTGGAGCGCCGGGGTGGTCCTCTACGTGCTCCTCTCCGGCGGCGCCCTCCCCTTCGGCGGCGAGACCGCCGCCGAGGTGCTCGCCTCCGTCCTCCGTGGCAGCGTCAGGTTCCCGCCTAGGCTGTTCGCCGGCGTGTCCCCGGCGGCCAAGGACCTCATGAGGCGCATGATGTGCCGCGACACCTGGAGGCGCTTCTCCGCCGAGCAAGTCCTCGGTAAGAACAACCCAACCAAATCCTCGAAATCTTCATGGATTTCACCTCATTTTCCGCCCAGTTTCCGATCCAAGAGAACAAACCATCTTATCGCTTGCCGCGCTGTTCGTAATGCAGGTCACCCGTGGATCGTGAGCGGCGGAGGAGCCCGAGCGATGGAGCAGCCAACCTGAACGGCGGCCGCGTCCACGTCAAGAGGGGGCAGACAGAGGCAGCGAATCAGTCGGTGCCACGTGTCGCCGTAGTCCTAGGGAGATACGGCGATATTTTACAGCCGTAGTCTATACGGTTTTGTATATACGACGAGACGGTAGAGAGAGATCCCTGCAGCGGATCCGCTGTAGGGTGTCGCGGTATTGCAGATCTGCAGTAGAGAGAATAATCAGAGTATTGATTGAAGAAGAAGCTCGTGCAGTCATGCTAGGCTTCTTTTTTCTTTCACGGTTCCAGGTTTGCTCTGTCTCTAGAGAGATCAGAGAGCCTTAATTTTCGCTTTGTTTTTTTTTGTATGATGATGAGTCAGGTTGTATATACGCTAACGTAAGTACTAAGCTTTTGTACAAATCGATCGGAGTTGAATAAAAATCGGGCTTGTGCTCTGCTTCGGCTTCCGTTTTTTTCTTCTCAATCATTTTCGTCCGGTTGGCCTTTCGGCCGGTCCATGCCTGGACGTGGAAAAAAAATGGAGATGAACAAAAACAATTCTACTCGCATCAGCGTTCCATTCAGAGCATAGAAATAAGGAGGGAGAGACCGAGATTCTGAGTCACTTGACACAGCAGTCTGCCTTTACGCTGAGCATGACTGTTTTTTTCACCATTTTTATGTGAAGGAGACTCTAATTCATGTCTCCTGATCAGCCTCACAAAAGTGTTCCACTGATCGCCGCACGCTAATCTCCAACGAACGTTCAAAGGATTGAGGTGAAACACGCAGAGTACTGGATTTTTTTCCTTCACCGTACAAGACGAGGTGAAGATGACCCGGGCCGGTGACTGACTGACAAGGATCCCACCACCACCACCGGCGATTTCCTCGCCTTTCACCTGTCCCCTCCTCTCCCAATCTGCTCCACACTTTCCACTCACACTTCTTCCCCACCACTCATCCAACTCCCCCAACTCGTTTTTCCCCTTTGCCCCTTTTCTTCGCTTGCAAGAAGAGATACAGTAGCAGAGTACTGTACGGTTGGTACTGTGCATCTCGCCCCGCGGCAGCGACGTCACGTGTGTCCCGTCCCACTTGGCGTCCTCGCGAAGGTGGGGTTTTGTGCGCGCGCGCGCGGCATATTCCGCGGTTTATCCCGCCCCGTCCTCGTCTCGCACCAAGCGCGCAGCTGTCGCCGTCCGCGTTTTTTTTTTCCTCTCGTTGCCTGCTTGGTTTGCAATGGCAAGCAAAAAACCTGTGGGATTCGGAGGAATCCCTGAGGCGGCACGCGGGGCGGCGCGGCCGGAACGGCTGGTCGTACGGCCTCGCACGCGGCCGCAGCATAGGTTCGCACGCTTTTTGACCGAGCCGTGTGGCTGGAGTATAAGCAGTTGGGGGCGAGATGATAGGGTGGTGCCCTTATTCTGGTGGACGTCTCTCTCCGAATCTCCGGTGGGCGGTGGCCCTCCGGCCAGGTGTAACCGTGGAATCCGACGCCGCCACCGCCAATAATGGAGGAGCTGAAGCCGCAGCTAGGCTGCCTGCCTGCTGGCAGTTTCTCCAGGTGTGCCAGCGGCTAGCGGCAGACCAAATCTCCCATATCTTTGCGATCAAACCTAACTTTGGGAGTGGAGTAGATAATTTAGGTGCCTTTTTTTAATAGATTTAGATTATGATTGTTGAAATAACTTGGTTCCCCCCCCCCCCCCCCCCTCTCCCCCGGAGAATGGTGGCATCAGTGCATCACCACAGTGTGTTACTGCTGCTGGTCCCGGTCAGTTGGGACTTGGGAGAGTATAAAATTTGTGATCGCTTTCGTCGTTCAGTGTCATAGTGGGATCAATCATCTATGCGCTTATCTCACGTTACCGCGGTCTCCTTCCTATTAAATTCATCGATCTAAAGCAGCGCCAGTTCAATCGGCTCGAGTTTAGTTCCAAAATTTTTCTTCAAACTTTTAACTTTTTCATCACATCAAAACTTTTCTACACACACAAACTTCTAATTTTTCCATCACATTGTTCCAATTTCAACTAAACTTCTAATTTTAGCGTGAACGAAACACACCCTCAGTTTTCCTTCTTGATTTCCTAAATTTTTTTAATTTGCAGGCAGTAAAATGTTGAGTTTATTCGCGCGGTCGGTGCTGAGTCCTGGCCATGTACTGGAGTAGTACTACTTCCCAAGGACGAGCTATCGGTTCACCATGACACACATGACAAAATGTACTTTTGCTCTATTTCGTGGTGTTCCTCGATGGTGGCGGACGAGAAAAAAAAATGGTACTCCCTCCGTCCCACAATATAAGGGATTTTGAGTTTTTATTGCAAAGTTTGACTACTCGTCTTATTCAATTTTTTTTGCAAATATAAAAAACGAAAAGTTATGATTAAAGTACTGTAGATAATAAAGTAATTCACAAATAAAATAAATAATAATTTTAAAAAGATTTAAATAAGACGAGTAGTCAAACGTTACAAATAAAAACTCAAAATCCCTTATGTTATGGGATGGAGGGAGTACATCCTGGGGATGCCGAGTTGCTGACTGATTCACGACGAGTTTAGTATTGCCACGCCAAAAGCCAGCTGATAGCGTGTAAAATCACGCTAGAAGTTACTAATTAATCACCTTTTTTTAAAAACCCTACTAATCACCTTCAATTCGGAGAAAAACGAGTAACCCAGAAAGTTTGATGCCAATTCGCTGCTAATTGAGACGCGAGATGCCCACGGAAAGCCGTTACACGTATCGATTCCGTTCGTGTATAATCGCGTGGGAAATTGAATGGGATCGTCGCAGCATCAGCTGCAGCATATATATGCGGTGAGCCGGCCGGGTGACACATACAGTGTTTTCAGGCATTACTCCGTACACACATGGCCTAGTTAGCTAAACCAAACGTGTCATCGTCATGACGAATCGAACTGAAGCGCTTAGTGTGATAGATACGATTAGCTACTATGGCTTCCTTGCCCTTATCCGTTTATCACCTCGATCGATCAGTGGAGTTGCGGGCCACGAACTTATCAACATATCGAATGCGACACGACACGATATGATAGCCGAGGTACTAGTAGTACTGTATGATTGATTAAATTAATTATGCGACGAATCAGAGCGGATCGGAAAGCGCCAACAGCTTCCACTACCCATCAATTGCCATGTGGGGGGGGGGGGGGGGGTGAAGGACGGAGAGGGGGACATGTCACGTTGCGTTGGGTGCCAGCGGCCGGTCACCTCGGCGTTCGGGCCCCGGCACGTGGGCGCTGTCGCTGCCAGCGCAGCTAGCGGGACACCAATCAGCGATCACCCGGGTGTGCAACAAAAGCGAGCGAGCGAGCCAGCAAAACCAACAAATACGCACGTACTCCGCGCGTACGGCGACATCTCGCGCGCTCGTCTCGGCCGCGGCTCTCGTTTTCCGGCGGGTACAGCGACAAAGGCCGAAGTCGAGCGCCTTCTCCTCTCGCTTATCCTTAAACACCATCGTTGGAGAAAGCCCGAGGTCGATGGAGACCGGACGACGCTTGGTCTGAACGTCTCGTTCCTTTGCAGCAGTGCCCGTGGCCTAACCCGACGACACGCATGTATACTCCGTACTACTGCTAGAACTAGGTACTGGAATTAGTACTCCTCCGATGCATCGCAATCAGCGTGTCGACGACGATGAGCACCAGATCAACTAGCCTCTACTAGCTCGATGGGGTACTCGCATGAACGATTTTCGTGTGCTTTACGTCTTTTCGGAAATTGGGTGACGCGCGAACTTCACCAATGGAGACAGGATTAGGAGGATACCACACTGAGAGCCTTTGAGGTTCGGAGCTCTGAACTTTCTGAAGGACAGCTGCTTTCGACGAATAGCTGGGCATGAGGACATCAGGGGACTCCTTTTCTGTTACGGACGAACAGAAAAAAAGGGCGGGAGTTTAGTACTTTGGTATACGTGCACTCCAGCTAGCTACTTGCGATTTGTTTGCTCTTTTGCTCGGTCGATCCACCACGCACGCTCAGGTTAGGTTCGGTTCGGTGCATTTCCTTCTCAGTACTGACGCGTTTTCTGGTTGTCTCTTTGCTCCTTTTTCTTTTCTCAGGTAACTTATCGCAATATCGCATACCTTTCTGGGTGTAAGTGTTGTGACTGTTTCATGATCAAAGCTGGTATCGATGGCCATTGTGGCATTGTAGCATAAGAAAATGGTCGGGTAACATGTCAATTTTACGCGGTGAAGATAAAGGCTGGTCTGAAGTTGCGTGCCACAGATTGTCAGTCGAGCACTTCTTGTTCCAAATCGTTATGACTCACACCGAAGAACCCAAGTGGATAAAGTGGTGTTTCTTGGGCTTCATGATGCGACAAGTATTGTATTGGCCTATTGAGAAAACGGGGCAAAATGTTGGGAATGGATAAGATTGTGTGTTTCTTTTTTTGAGGTTTGTGTTTCTGTTTCGGACAATAAAAAAAGTTGTTGTGATTGTATATTTGCAATTTTCCTAGATTACAGAAAACACACCCATTGGACTAGTTGGGGATCACCATGTAGAGCACGCTTCTATCTGCATTGGGCTAAATTTTGTGGAATCTGGGCTCTCCCACCTGAAAATGCTTAAATGCATCGTCAAAGCATAAGGCTTTCTTCAGTCTGCATTTTCTTCGGCCGAGCAGATCCTCTGCAGAAAAACGCACACCCTGAGGAATCATCAAGTCGCTAGACGAATGGGTAGCTTTCTGTTCGGCATTCATCTTATATCTAGTTGGGCTGAAAATTGGCGCAACAACCAGCCCGCTCACCAATTATAAACATATACGTCATTAAATACGATAAGAGCAAAAGAGAAATTGCAGAACAGTAAATATGACCAAAACAACACACCGATTGGCAATTGTGCCTTATACCGAGAATAAAGTAAGGTTTGCAGCAGTGAAACAAAAATCACGGCAAAAAAATATTGGCCGGATCATATGGAAAGCCTCGAGATGGTACAGGTAGAACACACCAAACCACTAGTAGGTTGGATGTGCGAATAATTGTTCCTCAATATGTGGTTGGGTTAGCCCTAGTTGAAATCAGGCTTCTCAGGGTAAGTGCAGCCAGAACGCTGGATGATAACATTTGCGGCATAGCAACCAGCCTTCACAGAGTCCTCAATGCTCTTTTGTTGAACCAATTGTGAGAGGAAGCCTCCAACAAAGGCATCACCTAAGAATAAAGGGAGGGTAGCTTATCAGGAACAGTAGACAAAATGAATAGGAACTTATCAGACAGCCTCCAGAGTTTATTAACTTGTTTCTTAAACATCAGAGCTTTTTAACAGTGTTTGCGTGTTACCAAAGACAGAAGCTCAATGTGTATACTATGCAATTGGCATTATCCAAACTTCAAGATGTATACTATGCAGTTGGCATCATGGCGAATATTCCTTAAAACATCTTTGTGCCAAACTGTCTTAAATATGGGAG